CTAATCAAAACTTTCAACAGCAAAATCTAAGAAATATACCAGTATAAGTTTGGTTTTCGCCATCTAAGTGACTAGTCACAATCATAAAAGCATACTTTTGCTGACTATTTAGTGTAAATTGACTGATGATATTCCCTCTACTGAAAGGAGGGTCATACACCGAGCAAAATTCGTATGTTCGTAACTTCGTAACTTCGTTCGTTCGCACAGAACGAAAAAATGTTTCTTTGACCCTTTTCAGGACGAATTTTTCACGAGTTCCTAACTATAGCCAAGTACAGTTTGACGAAAGGTTTTCGGGGTCGAGGAATTTGAATCTGTGATTAGTTTTTGCAAATTTTTCATTTTGAATTTTTTGGTAAAAAAAATAACTTTTTGGCAAAAAAAATTGTTTTTTATAAAGTTTGACCAAAGGTTTTCAAGGTCGAGGAATTCGAATCTGATGTTAGTTTTTTGAAATTTCAGTTTTTGCTTTTTTTAGGAGAGAGAAAGACGTTTTTACAAAAAGAAAATTTTTTTGTAAAGTTTGACCAAAGGTAATTAGGGTCGGGGAACTCGAATATGTGATTAGCTGACAGGTGTTTTAGATGATTTCCGCTAGCTTTCAGGAATAGAAAGCTTCAATGCAGTCTGAGCTACCTTGGAAACTTCATAGAAATGATATCGGAATCGGTCACAATGAGGCATTGTGCTCAGAATTTTTAGGTTAAATTTTACTGATGTCAAGCATATAAGTTTTATGTACTAAAACGAACTAAAATCCAGTATATAGTGTGTAGTTGGTAATGACGTATGCAGAGAGTACATTGAAGCATGGAGACGGCTAGTCGTGAGTGGCGCCCCGGATGGGGCGCCGACGAACGACTAGTCGCTGAATAGCAAGTTTTTGAAACAACCACACGTCTCAAATGCGTAGACTTACTTTCTACTGCTGGCTCGTTTTTGGGTGGAACTATGTTTAAGACGAGGAGAACAATGAACAAATAGGAAAGTCAATCAGAACGATCGGTATGTTTCTTAGAACAAGCATTTCTTCACTTTTCCGGAACACAGGCTTTTCAAATAAGCGATGCCAAAACAATGTAGGGTATCTTTAGAGAATTAAGATATCTGAATGAAGTACACTATATCATGGTAACGGTTAGTCGTGAGTGGCGCCCCGGAGGGGCGCCGACGAACGACTAGCCGTTGAAAAGAAAGACTGTGGAAATAACTTTCAAACTAATAGAACCGGTTAAGTGATTTTATTTCAGTCAGGTGTATTTAGTTATGGCTGTTCATTGGGGGTTGGAAAAATTGAGAAAATATTATTGGAAATAGGCTCTGAGATGTAGTCCTCTTGTAATATAGCGCACATTCAAGAAACAATTACGAGCAAGTAATACGGAGCGGATTTGTATCAAATGTCTTTCTGTTAGTAAAAGTTAGAGCCTACAAGGTCCTGTCTTCTTCTTTCTTTGAGAGATTCTAGAAGTATCAGACTGATTCTTGCTAATATTTGTTCAGAATTCTTTCTGGAATCATAACTATATTCATGTGGTAAGGATATTTCGACAGTAAGCAGGATTATTGATACGAGTCCGTTATGTTCTTTCAAAGATTTTTGTTAAGTATAAGATTCCGAAAGGTGCAGAAAATGAACTGTGACAGCATCTTGGGATTAATAAAATAGGTGTCTAGGTGTTTTTGTTAAGAGAAAACAAACCCATATCCCCACTCAAATACATCCACTAGAGCCCTTCAAACGTATCCGAACTTGACTGAATCGATGCACACCTCCGGATTCGAAAACTTGTCTTTGATACAATCCATATCAGAAATTTTTTTATTGCCCGGGTGCTGGTCGAATGGAATATTTTATGTGTAAAAATAGTTTTTGAACTTTAATTTACTATGTATTTTATTCAAAATAAGTCTTTTATATAGATTTAAATGGTGGAAAATCAAAAAAGAACCTTTCCAGATTATAATATATAAATCTGACTAACATCATAAATCTATAATTCAAATAAAGCTTCATCCGATTCTTTACTGTAATCAATGAGGCTATTGATATTATTCGAAGAATAAATACTGTTACTATTTGTTTTCTTCTTTTAATCATTGTGGGCGGTAAAGAATTGCTTTTGTTTTCAATAAATAAATTTTTTTCATCATTACCTGTAGATATTTTTCCTTTTAATTGCTCTTTATGCTAGACAAAAACACTTGATGCTCCGAGCGACTTCAAGTATAAAATTCTGATTAAGTTTTATTATTGAGTATTCTATGTACGATGTGGTCAGGTTCAAAATTTGTGCATTCGGTAGACTATAGTATCCACATCCGGAGTTATGAGCAAGCTGCCTCATCTGGGTATGAGTTAAAGTTACTGTCTTATATTAAAGAATGGTGCTTGTGAATTATATTTTGATATAGCTCTTTATGCTGTAGTAGAAACAGGGTTATAGCATAGCTATCCGTTGAAAATGACAATACCTCGTTTCTTCAAGTCACACTGTGATCATTGATCCATGATTATACATCAAAAAGACAACTGAATGGAATCTACAACTCTGGAGGTAGTCAGGCAATTGTGTTTTTAACACATTCTAGTCCTTTCAGTAGAGGGTCTGCGACGCTAATAACGTCGCGTTACTTGTTGTTTAACATATGACACGACCCTATAAATACACACGCTTTTTTCATTTCTTGTTAATATAACTGTGTAACCAATGCTAACGTTTCTTTTGAGCATATTCATAAAATTAATAATTTAGATTATAAACAGTAATGGCATCAAAACGATGTGCTGGATCAATTTTGGAATATTTTACTAAAAAAGTAAAAAGTACAACAACATCTGTATCTACAGAAGGAATTGCTTTAACTGATTTAACTGATCTTTCAACAAGTTCTGGAGATGAAGCTCTTGAAGCACCTTTTGTGACTCAAACTACTCCTCTTGTTAATCCATTACATTTGTCTAATACGAATAATTTATTGAAAAATAATGATGAATCTGAAAACCGACCTGAAATTTTTGATAATCCTGATAAATCACCAAATGAAAATAACCAAACATCATTAACACAAACAACAAATTTATCTACATCTAACCTATCTACTCAAAGCGTAATTCTTATGTCTAAATGTGATTTATACTGCTGCAATTCGTCTACGCCATATCATCCTGTTAGAGATGATGAATTAGTCTTAACAACAATTGATAAACGATCATGTCAAAAACAATGGTTTCTGGATCATACTTGGCTAACATTCTGCAAAGTGAGTTTTCGTGTAAAACAAATACAATCAAAATCAAAATTTATTTATAAAATATAATTTTTTTTTATTTTAGGTTAAAAGAAAAGCCTTTTGTTATCCATGTCGAGTTGCATTTGAACGTGAAATTCATCCAAATAAAAAATTACATCCTTCTTATAGAAGTTTTGTAACAGAAGGTTTTTGTGACTGGAAGAATGCCACGTCAAGATTCAAACTTCATGAGTCAACAAAAATGCATGCTACTTCAATTTATGTTGTTGGTCAACAAACAAAACCAACTGTAACAGCTCAATTAATGTCAGCAACCAAAAGACAACAAGAACAACGTCGAAAAGCTCTTTTAATACAAATTTCATGTATTATATATTTACTTCGACAAGGTCTTGCACTTAGAGGGCATTCTGATATTGAAAGCAATTTGGTTCAACTGTTAAAACTTCAAAGTATTGATAATGATTTTTTAAAAGAATGGATCAACGACAAGAAATATTTATCACATGATATAATCAATGAACTTTGTAAAGAAATTTATTTACTCATTATTCGAGATATTGTAAAAGAAGTACGTAGTACCCATAGCTTTGTTTGATTGAGAAAACTACCTAGAACTATTGTGTAGCGTCTAACGAACCGTCTTTTCAGAACATACCAGATCTTTTTCTTGAACAATGAAACAGAAAACTCGTTTCTCCTAAGATTTTCTTTGCAGATTTACAGTAATTCTTGTTACTATAATAGCTAATAATATGGAATGCAGCACTAACATTGTGCAATATGATTTATCTATTGCATTTGATAAAAAATATTTATGTTATCTATAAATTCTAGAAAATGAAAAAAAAGTTGAAATGTCTCTAGCTTTCTGTTTTGAATTGATATGACATTGTTTTTTGAGTTCATATGAAGTTAAAAATACTTTTGTTATTCTATTCAGATTTCCAACAGAAAATGGTTTTCCTTAATATGCGATGAAACATGTGATGAATCAACACTTGAACAATTATGTATTGGTATTCGATCTGTAGATGATAATTATGAAATATTTGAAGATATTCTTGGACTTTATGAATTATCTCGACAAGATGCTCCAACAATTGTTAAAGCAATTTCTGATGTATTAACTCGGTGTGGTTTAAATGTACTCGATTGTCGTGGTCAAAGCTACGACGGTGCGTCCAATATGTCCGGAGTTTATGGTGGTGTATCAGCTTTAATTTTGAATCAGCAGCCAAAAGCTATGTATGTGCATTGTACAGCTCATTGTTTAGATTTAGCTGTACATGATTTAACTGATCAATGTGCTACAATTAGTACTTGTATGTCATTTGTGAAAGAAATAATTGATTTTGTTCGTCGATCACCAAAACGTCTTGCTATTTTAAAAGAAATATCCAATCAATTATCAATGTCTTATACAAATCTCACACCCTTATGTCCAATGCGATGGACTATGCGTGCTGAATCATATAATTCGTTATTAAAAAATTACGAACCAGGTAATATAGCATTTCATTATATATAATTTATTCATTTTTCTTCTGATATATTATTCAAAAATCGAAATATTTATATTATCTTTCAGTTCAAGAAGCTTTATATTCAATTGCTGAAGAAAAAGGTGGTCCTGGTATAAAAGCTAATGGTCTTTATGAAACAATGAATAATTTTAATTTCTTTTTGTGTACTCAAAAAGTGAGTACACTCTAGAATCGGTCAGTATGTCCGGCCGTCCGTCCGTCCGGCCGGCCGTTTACACGATAACTTTCGAAAGGAGAGTCCGATCACGATGAAATTT